TGAGTTATTTTATTCTCAAAATTTAAAAATCAAGATTTATATAAATGAAAATTTGAAATTAAAAAAATAAAATTTTAAGATTAAAAAATAATAATAAAATATAAATTCACTGTTCGAATCATTATAATTTAAACTTGGTTCATATTTTGTAATTACAGCATTTACTTTATTGCCAGTAAAAGGTGTTCTTATTACGTCCGCTCCACGTTTTTGGAATATTTTTTGCTTGCTCCAAATTTTTTATATCTTCTATCATTTTTTGAAGCGGTACAAAGTTTGATTCAATATTCTGCAGCCATTTTTTTTGATTCGGAAGTTCACAAGACTTATCAAGTAAATAAATGACCTATACGTATAAATTATGATAAATATTTTATTTATATAAAATAGGATAGCAGATTATTTATAATATGTACCTTATTAAGAGTTTGTTTGTATCGTTCCATAATTTCTAATTCAGACTCACTTTCTTCTTCACTTTCAACATCACTTTCAACACATAAACCTCTATCTCTAGCATTCAACTCCTCATTATCAGTTACATTAAAATTTTCTGAAGCAGTTAAATTCTCCATTAAATTTATTTGTAAACCGTTATTCGACACTAATATTCTAATAGTTTTCCATACGGATTCTTCAGCTTCGGTAATAAATGGATAACATGAATTGCGTTGAACCTAAATTTTAATACAATATAAATTTATGTAATAAAATAGGCAAACAATACATATAAATAATAATAATAATAATTACTTTGCGAAAAAATGATGCATCCATTTTTCCAAGAGGATTGACGAGATGCTTACATAAAAAGAACCTATTTGTTAAAAAATATGGGCATGAACATACCCAATTTTTATGATTAGTTAAATACTTCTGCGAGTTTTTTATGTTGTGTGAAATAAGTTTGTTCCATTCAATTTTGAAGTCATTGCGCCATGATGGTAAAATACGTTCTTGTAAAAGTAATTGAAATCGATGTAATTGCATAGGCAATAATTTATCGATTATAATGTAGCAAACAAGATCGATTCTTGGCTGATTAAATTTATATAGGTAGTCTCTTTTTAGTAATCGCCAATGCGATTCCACGATCATCGTAGTGCGTAGAATAGAAATTTCTGAAAAAGTAGAAAGTGCCCAGAGCTTCCACCTGTCCCATCGGTACCACTCAGCCCAAAGATAGCACCAAACATAAAATAAATTTTTTTCATGGCAAAAATTAAATATCTCATGAACTGCACAAGACCAAATGTCTTGTGATGTAATAAATCTTTTGTCAAAAGTAGGTATTAGTGCATGATGATGAAAATGTGTTTCTATGTAGCTAAGAACATTTCTTCTTAAGGTAGCCTCAAGAAAAACTTTACTGCTTGAATTCGTATGTAATTGCAAAGAATCACTATCCCAATTCGGATTAATTACCGAGCATTCGCTGTGAGCATTTTTTGCATTATAATGAACTTTTTCTTTAACTTTTTTGACAGTTGATGCAAGCTTCTGTTCAATAGCACGTAAAACGTGCCATTTACATAGCTGAATATTTACATTTTTCCAAATTGCTTGTGCACTTGAAATTTGTGCAAAGTCTTTATCTGAAAGTACTGTTTCTACATTATCAATATTTAAATTATAAATTGCTTTAAACCATTTGGTTATAATCATTCGAATGTCTCGATTCTTTCCAGTTGATATATATAAATAGCTAATCGGAAATCCTGTTCCGTCAATCATGGCCATAATTACATAGAGTTCATATTTAAGTTGGTTCGTGTTATAAGTTGCATCAACTAATAATGTTTTAAATGCTAATTTAGGTAAGATATTCAGAAATGGTGTTACAAATGCAAAAGCGAACGTTGGGCTATCAAGCTCTAAAATAAGTGTATAATTCTTTTCATTTAATAATTTTTTTGCTGATTCAAGCTGGTCTTCTGAACGTTTATATTTTTTAATAGTATGTCGTGCCCACCAGTAATAAGTTTGATTAACTGTTAAAGACTCATAGCCTTTTATCTTCTCTGCAATTATTTGCTTATACAATTCTGATGCGGAATACTTTTGATTTACTTCAATATATTCTTTGATTTCACTAGTAACATTAACATGTTGTGGTCGCGGATGCAGAATCATATGATCAAGCTTTACTAATGCTAATGAATTATATAAATCTATTTTAATTAGAAGTGCTCCTTTACAATCATATCTCTCTAATTTTGGTTCAGTGTTATGTTGCTTAGATTCATCGGTAACTTTTTTTGATTTTTTTTTCAATTCAGGACGACAATTACACCAGTAAGTATATGAGCTAATCTTTGTTCGTTGATTGAAATATTTTTTATGATAGTTATAAGAATATCCATCATTTTTTTCACAAAGTTTTACTACTTCGACTGCTAATAAACATGGATCAATTTTATCCTTGCTAGTTTCATTTAATTTGTTGATCAAGCTAGAAATAGTAATTAATATTTCTAAGTTCATTTGTCCATTATTTTCATCTTCAACTTCCATGAGTTTTTTATAAACTATACTTTCAAATTCTTCCGGCTCAACAGCATTTTCGTGATCCTTGTAAAAATTATCTATTGTTTGCTCTTCACGTTTTCTTTTTTTCCCTTTATTTACACGATCCAAGCATAAAATACATGTTTTATTATTATTTTCGAAAGCGTCAACAGCTTTTGTTGTGCGACAGGAAGAACAATAACGGGTATCAATTTCCATTTTAGATTTGCGAAAGAATTTTTTTTTTTTTTGTAAAATATTTTTTGTTTATACGTATATCAATGAATAAATCATTAACAAATAATTACATAAATATTACGTTAATAATATCAAATCGGAAA